CACTACCCAATTCCATAGTTAACAGAACTCTAATTTTCTTGAGGAAGAAAGTATGCCCAGCTATAAAATTACATTTCTCAGCCTCTCGTTGTGCAAAAAATGACCACAGGGCAGAGACCTGGTTGAGAACTAATTAATAGGCCATCAGGGGCAGTTATTTGGTAGGGCTTCTGGGAAAGTTTACCAAATATAACCAATTCAATTGACACCCAAGTTTTGCCTTTCGCCCTTGCTCTTTCACCTTCCGCTTGCCGAGAATATGTAAATGATACCTGGAGACACAGAAGCCATCTGTGATGATGAATTAAAACCCACACATCAAAGATGGCAGATAGACACAAACGATTCGACACCATTAGCTGCCACAGAAGCTCTGGACTACTTATTTCCAGGTTTATGAGAAAGAAAATGGAGTCTCTTACTAGTTTAAGCTACTCCTTTTGGAGGTACTGATACTGTTGGCCCAAGTCAATCTTTTAAGCAGTATATTCAGTGAAACATAGAGAATAAAGGAAATTGTCTTGCATTTATACAATTATGGAAATTATTCTCTTGAGCAGCTCAGAAATGGGCTCTGAAATGAGTTCCAAAACTTTTGTTTCCAAAATACTTTCACCAATTAGGAAAATGCAAATCAAAACCACAATGAGATGTCACCTCACCCCCATTAGGATAGCTGCTATTACACACACACACACACACATACACACACAGAAAATAAGTGTTGGGGAGGATATGAAAAAATTGGAATGCTTGTGCCCTGTTGGTAGGAATGTAAACTGCAGAAAACAGTATGGTGGCTCTTCAAAAAATTAAAAATAGAATTACCATGTGATCCGGTAATTCTACTTCTGGGTAGATTATCCAAAAGAATTGAAAGTGAGGTCCCGAGGAGGTATTTGTACACCTATGTTCATAGCAACATTATTTACAACAGCTAAAATGTGGAAGCAACCCAAGTGTCCATGGACGGATGAATGGATAAGCAATATGTTGGATATACAGAGAGTGGAATATTATTCAGTCTTAAAAGGGAAGGAAATTCTCACACATAGTACAAACACGGATAAACCTTAAGGACATAATGCCAAGTGAAATAAGATGGCCACAAAAGGACAAATACTGTATGATTCTCCTTATATGAGTATCTACAATAGTCAAATTCATAAAAATGGAAAGTAGAATGGTGGTTGCCAGGGGCTGGAGAGAGAATGGAGCATTTTTGTTTAGTGGGTGCAGAGTTTCAGTTTTGCAAAATGAAAAAGTTCTGGAGACTGGTTGCACAACCATGTGAATATACTTAATACTACTGAGCTGTATGTACACTTAAAAATGGTTAAAATGGTAAGTTTTATGTGTATTTTACCACCATTAAAAATACTTCGATCTAACCATATAAGTATAGATGGTTGTTGTTAAATAGCAAATCTCAAGTTCTTATATCATCCAAAATGATTAATTTAAAAATTATATATTTCGCATCCTTTATTTGCTATTTGAAAGCCACTGTAGTAAAAAGCTCCACTAAGAAAATTCATCAAACATACTGGGATTAGACATTTGTGAGGCATTTATTATCTATCTTAAATAAAATATGCAAACCTGTAAATATCAAACTTGCAGACCCTTACATTTTAAAAAAAGCTATAAAGGGTAAAGCTTAAAATTAAATGGAAAAAACCTAAACCATATTCATTTGATTATGATTTTGGTATAATCTTGTCTAGGGAATAGTGATATAACAAATTACATAAGTCTCTAAATTTTTCCCAACTGAAATGAATAGAAAACTTTTGTGTATTTAAGGTATTTAAATAATACCTAGGCACGATGACTCATGTCTGTCATCCCACCACTTTGAAAGGCAGGGGTGCGCAGATCGCTTGAGCCCAGGAGTTCAAGACCAACCTAGGCAACATGGTGAAACTCCACATCTACAGGAAATACAAAAAATTAGCCAGGCGTGGTGGCATGTGCCTGTGGTCCCAGCTACTCAAGAGAACCATCGCACTCCACCCTGGGCAACAGAGAGAGACTCTATATCAAAAAAGAAAAAAAAAAAAAAAAAAAAAGGAAAAAAGAAAAGAGAGAGAAGAAAAGAAAAAGACCTTTAATTTAATTTATTTATTTTTGAGATAGAGTCCTGCTCTGTTGCCCAGGCTGGAGTGTAGTGGCGCAATCTCGGCTCACTGCAACCTCTGCGTCCGGGGCTCAAGCGATTTTCCTGCCTCAGCCTCCCGAGTAGCTGGGACTATAGGCACCTGTCATCACACCCAGCTAATTTTCGTATTTTTAGTAGAGATGAGGTTTCACCATGTTGGCCAGGATGGTCTCAAACTCCTGATCTCAAGTGATCCACCTGCCTCGGCCTCCCAAAGAGCTGGGATTATAAGCATCAGCCACCACACCAGGACAAAAGATCTTTTAATAATAAAATGAGAATAAGAGTATAGGGTCTTTCTTATAAGGGAAATCTGGAAAACCTACAGAGTAATACTTCTAAAAATGATTTCACCCATTGGATTTTAGGTAGGCTCAGAAAATTAAAATTTTATTATATAATGCAATAATTTGGCAGTAACTTTATGCTCACGTCATGCCATTATCATCATTAAATACATGTCATTAAATTCAAGATGATTTATTCTGTTAAACACAAGATTCTTATTATAAAGCACTCATTAATCACTTCTTCCACATATGATGGAAACTGCTACCTTCATCAATTTTCATTCCTTTTATCATGAAGTGAATAACTTTTGTATTGTATTTTGCTAAAAAGACTTGGGTACAGTTATGTCCCTAGTTCAAAGCCAATCTGTGCCAAAGGGTTATTGATAGTGGATTTTAAAATACTTTGCTACTTCACTGACTTGAGTGGACTTTGCTAATTTACTCAATTTTTGCATCTTAGTTTTTTTTTAATCTGCACATAGGAATCACATATAGAAGGAACCTTAAATATCACATTGTGTTATCCTTTTGCTCTGTAGATGGGGAAACAAGCTTGAGGATCATCATTCTGAGGAATGTTCCAAATTAAAATTTCTAGGAGAACACCATGTAAGATAAAATGTATAACAAATATATACATAAATGGCTGGATTAATATTATTCTCTTTAAAAGAGAAATGAGCATTCTCACTATTCTGAATTCACATATATTGAAATTTTTACTAATATACATTTTATTACTGTCCTTTAATAGTCTCTTTAATGTGCCTTTTATATGACCAATTGTTTCTTAAAGATTTGCAGCCCATTGGATATGCTGACATTTAAGACATTCACTGCCAATATTTTATTTCCTTAATCCCACAATCTCAATAAAAATTTCGATCTAAATATGAGTGGAAATGGGGAGTTAATTAAAGCAAATAATTGTGAAAGATTCGTAATGTATTTTTCTCGTATACACTACGGATAGAAATGAAGCGCATTTGCCTTAGCTTTCTACTTTCTTTCCATAAAGCAAGGATTCTTCAATCTTCATGGAGTCCCCAATAACATGTGAAGTATTGTGCTAGGTACTGCAAGGGATGCCAAAGATGAACAAGGCATGAGTTCTGGGGGAATATACCATCTCTCACAGGAGAAATAAATTAAGTACCGTACTCAAGTATTAAAGTGAGAACTTAAGTGCTATAAGGCAGTTACAATAAAGAGGAAATGTAAAGGAAGGATAGATCATACCAAGTAGGATAAATCAGGAAATGAAGGCTAAACTTTGGAAGTGAGAAATTATTCTGAAAATTCGTAGAATTGCTTAGTGGAATAGGGTCTTCTAAGGAAGGGTACTGACTAAGCAAATGAAACGAAAAAAGGGAATGACTATGTTTCTGCAACTTCAAGAGATCCAGTTTCCCTACAGGGCAAAGGAGTAACAGGAGAGAAAAAAAGCGATGAATCCGTGCGTCCCATAAACTATTTTACCATATATTTTACTCTGTCAAAACAACTATCACTTATTGGGCTTTTTATTTTTTTAATTTTTTAAAAATTTTTTTGAGATAGGGTTTCCCTCTATCGCCCAGGTTGGAGGGCAGTGGCGCAATCACCGCTCTCTGCAGCCTGGACCTCCTTGGCTTAAGCGATCTTCCCGCCTCGACCTTCCAAAATGCTGGGACTACAGGTGTGAACCACTATGCTCAGGCTTGTCAGCACTTTTCTGTGCACGTTTACATTAATCCTCTAAATCACTCTTCTCTATCTTTCATGTGCATAGGAATCACCTGTGGTTTCCGTTAAATTGGAGATCTTGATTCATTAGGTCTGGGGCAGGGCCTGAGCTTCTGCATTTCCATTGAGTTCACAGCCTGTGCCTACCCTGGACCACACCTTCGAATGGAAAAGGCTCCAAGTGTGATTTCTAGCCACTAGTATTAACTGGGAACTTGGCAGAAATAAAATGCAAGTTCTCGGCCCCCACAAGGGATCTACTGAATCCGAAACACTGTGGCGAGGCCCGCCACTCTGCAGTGTTTTAACAAGCAAGTGATTCGGTTTGAGAGCCACCCGTAAGTCACGGGTTTCCTAACATGATTGGACACTGGAATCACCTGCGGATTTTAAATAACACTATTGATGCCGCATCTCACCCCCGTCCCGAGATTCTCAGGAATGGGGCGTGGCCTTGGCGGCGGCGGTCTAAAAGCTCTCCCAGGTGATTCCAATCTGTAGTAACACTTGAGAACTGCGTGAGGTGGGGACTTCAACTTTTACAGGCCTTATTTTCCTCCTATGTAAAAGGTGGACAATATCCAAGTGGTCCTGACTTTGCTTCCAGATTTCGGCAACTCTAGCCAGCCCTAGTTCGGTCTGGAGAGCCCGCTTCCCGTCCAGTGTCCCAAGGCCTCTGTCCGAGAACCCAGGGTCCCGGGAGCGGACCCGCGGGAGCATCTGTGACGCCGCTCAGCAACCCGGCGCCGCCCCGGCGGCTCGGACGTGGCCTAGTGTCCAGCTGGCGTGGGCTCACCAGGCCGCACCCACTAAACCGCGCCGGAGCGGGACACGCATGCGCCGGCCCGGACCCGGCACCCAGTAACGGACTCCAGCTCCCCCCACCGGAAGTGGGCAGTCGCGCGCCGGGAAGAGCAGGCCGAAGCGTGGCGGCCACAGACTGTGGGTGCCGGGTCCGAGGGACTCGCGCTTTTGTCTCCGTGCCATGGCGCCAGCGAAGGCCACGAACGTGGTGCAGCTGCTCCTGGGCTCTACCGCGCTGTGGCTTTCGCAGCTCGGTGCCGGGACGGTCGCCGCGTCCAAGTCGGTGACGGCCCACTTGGCCGCGAAGTGGCCGGAGACCCCGCTGCTGCTGGAGGCAAGGTGGGTACGGGCCGGGCCCTGGTCCGGGCGGCTGTGGGCGCGCTGCCATCCTCAGCCGCGCTCTCTTCGTGCTCGCAGTGGGTGTCTCCTCGCTTCCACCCGGCTTCTCCAGACGCCCCCGCTCTGGCCCTGAGCATCACCACCTCCTTCCCTCCCGACCGGGGGCGGCTTCTCGGTTCCAGTGCAGCACTAACTTGCAGTTCCTTTCCCCCTCAGGTCTTACTTTACCTACAGTTTTTAAAGCTTCTTTGCTCTGCTTTATTTTGTTGGGATGTATTAGCATTTACGCGTGGCACTTAACGCAAGCGCTTCCACTGGGGTAGGCAGTTCTGTTCAGCAGACAGTGCTTGAAGTACCTAGTTTCGTCATGATGACATCATACCATCAGCTCCTAGGCTTGCTATGGGGAGGGCAGCTTCCTGCAAGGTAATATTTTTCCCGAATCCCTTCCAACGGAATTAGTGCATTAATTAGTTCATTACCCATCACTTACTCTGCAGGACAAAACTTGCAGCTATTGCATTTTGCCCCTTAGTATTCCAATAGTTGAGTAAAATTAGAAAGTTCTTTCTCTTAGCAAAAATGAAGTTTTACACCAATGACTTAATGGATGGACCACAGCAACAGCATGTGGCCCTAAAAAGAGACTCCACTCCACATAAGTTGCATGTATTTGATGGTAAAATAGTTAAAAATTTTTTTTCATTTCTGTAGGTTATTGGGGAACAGGTGGTGTTTGGTTACGTAAGTTCTTCAGTGGTGATTTGTGAGATTTTGGTGCACCCATCACCCCAGCAGTATATACACTGCACCCAATTTGTAGTCTTCTATCCCTCCCTCTCTTCCCAACCTTTCCCCCTGAGTCCCCGAAGTCCATTGTGTAATTCTTATGCCTTTGCATCCTCATAGCTTAGTTCCCACATATCAGTGAAAACATGAGATATTTGGTTTTCCGTTCCTTACTTACTTCACTTAGAATAATAGTCTCTAATCTCATCCAGGTTGCTGTGAATGCCATTAATTCATTCCTTTTTATGACAGAGTAGTATTCCATCGTATGTATGCTGCTGTTTCTTTATCCACTTGTTGATTGATGGGTATTTGGATTGGTTCAACATTTTTGCACTTGTGAATTGTACTGGTATGAACATGCATGTTCAACTATCTTTTTCATATAACTTCTTTTCCTGTGGGTAGATACCTAGTAGTGGGATTGCTGGATCAAATGGTAGATCTATTCTTGGTACTTTAAGGACTTCCCCACACTGTTTTCCACGGTGGTTATACTAGTTTACATTCCCACCAGCAGTGTAGAAGTGTCCCCTGTTCGCTGCATCCATGCCAACATCTATTTTTTTTTAAAATTTTTTTATTATGGCCATTCTTGCAGGAGTAAGGTGGTATCGCATTATGGTTTTGATTTGTGTTTCCCTGATCATTAGTATGTTGAGCATTTTTTCGTGTTTGTTAGCCATTTATATATCTTTTGAGAATTGTCTATTCATGTCCTTAGCCCACGTTTTAATGGAACTGTTTTTTTCCTGCTGATTTGAGTTCCTTGTAGATTCTGGATATTAATCCTTTGTCAGATGTATAGATTGTGAAGATTTTCTCCCATTTTGTGGGTTGTCTGGTTACTCTGCTGACTGTTCCTTTTGTCGTGCAAAAGCTCTTTAGTTTAATTAAGTCCCCGCTATTTATCTTTGTTTTTATTGCATTTGCTTTGGGGTTCTTGGTCATGAAATCCTTGCCTAAGCCAATGCTAGAAGGGTTTTTCTGATGTTATCTTTTATAATTTTTATAGTTTCAGGTCTTAGATTTAAGTCCTTGATCCGTTGAGAGTTGGTTTTTGTATAATGTGAGAGATAAGAATCCAGTTTCATTCTCCTACATGTGGCTTGCCAAGTATCCCAGCACATTTTTTTGAATAGAGTGTCCTTCCCCCACTTTGTTTTTGTTTGCTTTGTCGAAGATCACTTGGCTGTAAGTATTTGGGTTTGTTTCTGGATTCTCTATTACATTCCATTGGTTTATGTGCCTGTTTTTACACCAGTACCATGCTGTTTTGGAGACTATGGCTTTATAGTATAGTTTGAAATCAGGGAATGTGATGCCTCCAGATTTGTTCTTTTTGCTTAATCTTGCTTTGGCTATGTGGGCTCTTTTTTGGTTCCATATGAATTTTAGGATATTTTCTCTAGTTTTGTGAAGAATGATGGTAGTGTTTTGATGGGAATTGCATTGAATTTGTAGATTGCTTTTGGCAGTATAGTCATTTTCACAGTATTGATTCTACCCATCCATGAGCATGGGATATGGTTCCATTTGTTTGTGTCGTGTATGATTTCTTTCAGCAGTGTTTTGTAGTTTTTTTCCTTGTAGAGGTCTTTCACCTCCTTTTTTAGGTATATTCCTAAGTATTTTATTTTTGTTGGAGCTATTGTAAAAGGGGTTGAGTTCTTGATTAGATTCTCAGCTTGGTCGCTGTTGGTATATAAGAGAGTACTGACTTAGTGTACATTAATTTTGTGTCTGGAAACTTTGCTGAATTCTTTTATCAGCTCGAGGAGCTATTTGGAGGAGTCTTTAGAGTTTTCTAGGTATATAATTATATCGTCAGTTAACAGTGACAATTTGATTTCCTCTTTGTTGATTTGGATGCCCTTTATTTCTTTCTCTTGTCTGATTGTTCTGACTAGGACTCCCAGTACTATGTTGAACAGAAGTGGTGAGAGTAGGCATCCTTGTCTTGTTCCAGTTCTCAGAGGGCATGCTTTAAACTTTTCCCCATGCAGTGTTATGTTGGCTGTGGGTTTGTTATAGATGGCTTTTATTACAATGAGGTATGTCCCTTGTATGCTGATTTTGTTGAGAGTTTTAATCATAAAGGGGTGCTGGATTTTGTTAAATGCTTTTTCTGAGTCTGTTGAGATGATCATGTAATTTTTGTTTTTAAATGTGGTATATCACATTTATTGACTTGTGTATATTAAACCATGCCTGCATCCCTGTTATGAAACCCACTTGATATTGGTGGATTATCTTCTTGATATGTTGTTGGATTCGGTTAGCTAGTATATTGTTAAGGATTTTTGCATCTATGTTCATCAGAGATATTGGTCAGTAGTTTCCTTTTTTGGTTATGTTTTTTTCCTGGTTTTGGTATTAGGGTGATACTGGCTTCATAGAATAATTTAGGGAGGATTCCCTCTTTGTCTTGTGGAATAGTGTCAATATGATTCTTACCAATTCTTTGAATGTCTGGTAGAATTTGGCCGTGAATACGTCTAGTCCTGGACGTTTTTATGTTGATAATTTTTTATTACAGTTTTAATCTCATTGCTTGTTATTGGTCCGTTAAGGGTATCTAATTCTTCCTGATTTAAGGTAGGAGGGTTGTATCTTTCCAGGAATTTATCCATCTCCTTGAGGTTTTCTAGTTTATGCACATAAAGGTGTTCATAGTGGCCTTGAATCATCTTTTGTATTTCTGTGGTGTCCGTTGTAATATCTCCCATTTCATTTCTAATTGCGCTTATTTGAATTTTCTTTTTCTTTCTTGGTTAATCTTGCTAATGGTCTATTAATGTTATTTATCTTTTCAAAGAACTAACTTTTTGTTTCATTTATCTTTTGTATTTTTTTTTGCTTCCAATTTCCTTTAGTTCTGCTCTAATCTTTATTTCCCTTCTTCTGCTGGGATTGGGATTCGTTTGTTCTTGTTTCTTTACTTCCTTGAGGTGTAACCTTAGATTGTCTGTGTACCTTCAGATTTTCTGATGTAGGCGTTTAGGGCTATGAACTTTCCCCTTAGCACAGCCTTTGCTGTATCCCAGAGGTTTTGATAGGTTGTGTCACTATTTTGTTCAGTTTGAACAGATTTTTAATTTCCATCTGGATTTCATTGTTGACTTATTCAGGAGAATGTTATTTAATTTCCCTGTATTTGCATGGTTTTGAAGGTTCCTTTTGGGGTTGATTTTCAGTTTTATTCCACTGTGGTCTGAGGTCTGAGAGAGTGTTTGATATAATGTCAGTTTTCTTAAATTTATTGAGGCTTGATTTGTGGCCTATCGATGGTCTATCTTGGAAAAAGTTTCATGCGCTGATAATGAATAGAATATATATTCTGTGGTGGTTGGGTAGAATCTTCTGTAAATATCTGTTTAGTCCATTTTTTTCCAGGGTATAGTTTCAATCCATTGTTTCTTTGTTGACTTTCTCTCTTGAAGACCTGTCTAGTGCTATCAGTGGAGTATTGAAGTCCCCCACTATTATTTTGTTACTGTGTATCTCATTTCTTGAGTCTAGTAGTAATTGTTTTATAAATTTGGGAGCTCCACTGTTAGTTGCATGTATATTTAGGATTGTAATATTTTCCTGTTGGACAAGGCCTTTTATCATTATATAATGTCCCTCTTTGTCTTTTTAAACTGCTGTTGCTTTAACGTTTATCTCATAAGAATAGCTACTCTTGCTCGCTTTTGGTGTCCATTTGCATGGAATATCTTTTTCCACCCCTTTACCTTAAGTTTATGTGAGTCCTTAGGTGATAGGTGAGTCTCTTGAAGACAGCAGATGGTTGGTTGGTGAATTCTCATCCATTTTACAATTCTGTACCTTTTAAGTGGAGCATCTAGGCCCTTTACATTCAATGTTAGTATTGAGATGTGAGGTACCATTCTATTCATTGTGCTATTTGTTGCCTGTATACCTTATTTTTTTAATTGTATTTTTGTTTTATAGGTCTTGTGAGATTTATGTTTTAAGAGGTTCTGTTTTGATTTATTTCCATGATTTGTTTCAAGATTTAGAGCTCCTTTTAGCAGTTCTTGTGGTGCTGGATTGGTAGTGGCAAATTCAGCATTTTTTTTTTGTCTGGAAAAGACTATTTTTCCTTCATTTATAAAGATTAGTTTTGCTGGATACAGAATCCTTGACTGATAATTGTTTTAAGAGGCAGCAGGTAGGGACCCAATCCCTTCTAGTTTGTAGGTTTC